CCAAAATGTCATTTGCAGAAAGCTACCTCTTAAGGAAAGTATTTACACATAAAACAAGGGTTATATTTGCATGCCACAAGAACCTCAAAGAGTTTCCTTTACATATAACAATGTAGAAAGCTGTCCTTAGWRGTCATTTCAACCTTACTTTTTTCAGGAACATTCTTTGAATGCAAAATTAATTTGTTTATTTTCTAACTACAGTAGTTAGKCTAGTTTATTAGTTACGAAACTTTAGCTCTGACTTTATGGTTGAGAACAGGTTCAAGAGAAATATTAYTAAACCTTCAAATCTGTGGAAAGCAGATAATGAAGTGTATCTTGCTGGCTTTCTGGTGATTGGTGCTAAATATTTGGCTTWGTATTTTTACATTTCTTTCCAGGCATTCACTGAGTTAGGTAGAAATGTATTTCCACAGAATAGTTTTTAAGTTTTTCTAAATGCTGCTTCACATTGTTTGCTACTTAAGGTATGTAGCTTTGTATTCTATCTAATTGGCATTGAGTTTTTATGGTTGTTGTTTGATACTTTGTTCAGTACTTTTGCTTTTGAATTTTTAATTTCTTATTTTGACTATGGATTTGCATGCAATTGTAAGAAATAATACAGGGAAATCCCATATATTCTTTAACAGTCTCCTCCAGTGGTAGCATCTTGTAAAATTATAATACAGTATTACAACCCAGATATTGACATTAATATAATCAAAATATGAAGCACTTCTTTTATCACAAGGATCCCTTATTTGCCCTTTATAAACATAAGTACTTATTTCCCTTCCTCCTTCTACCATCCTCATTAGGCTTTGACAAGCATTATTCTTTATTACTATAATTTTGTCATTTCAAGAATGTTATATATGTGTGGAATCATACAGTTCGTAACCTTTCAAGATTGCTTTTTTTGTTTTTGTTTTTGTTTTATTAGAGTCTTGCTATGTTGTCCAGGCTGGCCTCAAGTGATCCTTATGCCTCAGCCTCTGGAGTAATAAGATTGACTTTTCATTCAGCATAATTCTCTGGGTATTGATCCAGGTTGTCACTTGTATTAATGGCCTCCCCTCCACCTTTTTAAAAATATTTTTTTTTAGTTGTAGATGGACACAATACCTTTATTTTATTTATTTTTATGTAAAGCTGAGGATTGAATCTCACATGTACTAGGCAAGCCCTCTACCYATGAACTACAACCCCATCCCCTCCCATCTCCTTTTTTATTACTGGGTAGTATTTCATGGTATGGATGTACTATGGTTTGAGTAACTATTCATCCATTGAAGGACATCTAGGTTGTTTCTTGCTTTTGACTCTTATGAATAAAGTCGCTATAAATATTGGTGTCAGTTTTTGTGTAAACATAAGTTTTCATTTCTCAGATARATACCCAGGAGTTTGTTTTTTTGGGTCACAATGTTGTTGCATGTTTAGTTTTTTAAGCTAGTTTCTAAACTACAAAACTGTTTTTCAGAGTGACTGCATACATTTTACAGTTTCATTAGTAATATATGAATGATCCAATTTTACACATCCCCATCAACATTTGGTGATCTCACCTATTTTTTTTTATTTTAGCTATTGTGACAAGTGTGTAGTGATACCTCATTGTAGTTTGCATCGCCCTAATGGCTAATGATATAGAACAGCTTTCTGTGTGCTTGCTGTTTGCATGTCCCATTCAGTGAAATGTCTTCATGTCTTTTACCCATTTTCTACGTGAATTGTTTTTATTTTAACCATATTATTCTAAGTTATTAATCTTTGGTCACCTGTGGTTTGCAAATATTTTCTCTTAAGTTTCTTTTCATCCTCTTAGCAAGGTCTTTGTGTGATTCTTGCTAGAGTAGAAATGAGAGATACTTTAGAAGTAGGGAAAAACTGGGACTSATTGTGGAGAAGGAGAGAGGGAAAGAGAACTGTCTTTTACTGAAACAGCAAAAGCCAAATCTCAGAAGTCAATCTGCTTCAGTTTGAATCCTGGCTGCGCCCCATAACTGTGATTTCCTGTCTCTAGGCCTCAATTTCCTTATTTGTAAATGAAGAGAATGGTAGAATCAGTYTCCTAGGGCTGTTATGAGGATTAAGTTAAAACAGTCATTTAGGAGAGGACATGGCTCCTTATAAGCACTTATAAGAATTAACTGTTATTATTCTTAACAAAATTAGCGAATTAATAGATTGCTCTCACACACTTAATTTAAAAGTCTATTTCACTGATTTTTATCTTCATTGAGGCTATTAGCACAAAACTAGTTTGTTGAGCTTGGYAATAGAATTCTTATTTTTGTATTATACTGTCTGCATTTTGAAATATCTTATTTTTTATGCCTTTTAATATACTAAGAGGCCCTGATGAGGACATTCAGCCAAACCTTTGTGATGAACAAGGAGCTATTAACCTGAGTTAATCACCCTATTTTCGACATTCTGCCAGGACAGCTCTTGGTCTGTGTGTTGCCTGTCTCCATTTAAGGTCTATAGTGGTGGCCTTATTTTTGTASCCACTGTGTGACCCAGTACCCTTCAGGGGCAGTTTTGTACACATTTGTAAAAGAATAAATGCATAGATTTCATCAGAATAGGAAATTATATGGAAATTTGTATCAACTTTATGCTTGGATTTAGAATTAATCTGTAGTTATTGAGAAATTACCACAATGAGCCAAAAAACACTCAGTGCTTACTACATGCCACATACTGATATAATCATTACATATATGAACTCTTTTAATTCTCTGAATAAATAGGGTTTATTAATATTGCCACTTTACAGATAAGAAAATTGAGGCACAGAGAAACCTGCCTAATATCAACTAATAAGTGGGAGAACCAGCATTTAAACTGCCATACAGCACACAGTCTGGCTTTTAACCACCTTTTGTAATTTTTAAAATTTTTAATCACAGGATTTTTACAAGGTATTTAGGCTTTTTTTTTGCTGGTACCAGACGTTGAACCCAGGAGCACTTAACCACTGAGCCACATTCCCACCCAGCTCTTTTAATGTTTTTTGAGACGGGGTCTCACTAAGTTGCTTAGGGCCTTGTTAGGTTGCTGGGGCTGGCGTTGAACTTGCAATCTTCCTGCCTCAGCAGCCTCCCAAACCAGTACCACGCCTGGCTGTTTATGACATTTTAAAGCCCATCTTGGTTCCTTTATTCATGCAGTAACTTGAGTTTCCTATTCCATTTTATAATTAAGCTTTAACTTATTATTTTAGAGAATAAATTTTAAAATTCTTTAGGAAAGAGTAGCTGGGGAAAAAACATGCAGTATTTGCATGCCCATTGTGTATCTTGCACTGTGCCAAATGAATATAGACCTCATTTGAAAGTTTGTTTTCCTACTTTCCACTATAAAGTTGCACCTCTACCAAACTAAGCTACCTATAAATTCCTCCCTAATATTACTTTTTTTTCTTTCTTTTCAGTGTGTGATGCATAAAAGCATACAGATTACAGATATATATTTGCTGTCTTTAGTCACATTCTTACATTCTGAAGTTTAGTAAGCTGAGGCTTGGTTCAGTTTCCAAAACAACTCTTTCCCAAAAATGGAAGGAACTTTAAGATGTAAATAATTACTATATTCGTTACTGGCCTCCTAGGCCAGAGGCCTGACTCTGGGGTCCCAACAAATCATGTCCAGCCACTTGCCCCTCCCCCTCAAAAAAAAAAAAMRMRAAAAMASAAAAGATAATGGTGAAAAGCAAGAAAAGAACTTTAGTCACTACATTGGAAGACAAAGTGAGATCYAGCATCTCAGCCCTGAGTTTAAATAGAGGAAGAATTGGGGTAGGAAGCAAGAGGTGTACATAATTAAACAGCATATATATAATTTTTAGTTGTTGATGTTTGTTTGTTTATATGTGGTACTGAGAATTGAACTCAGTGTCTCACACATGCTAGGCAGGTACTCCACCACTGACCCACAACCTAATTAAGCAATCTTGATCAGACTATGGTCTAGATGATCATTCTCTCAGTTCTGGTTCTGTGAAGTGACTCTGGAGGAGTTCTTTATTGCCTGAAGGGTGTTAGTTCCACTTTGTTGCTGGGGATGTTTATCAGACCTGTGGTCCATCCAGGAAGGGGACAAGAAACTTCTAGATACCTTTCTAAGGGTCTGATGCCATAAAAGCTGGTAGTCCCTGAAAATCTCATCTTAGTCATCAAGGGGGATATGATAGGTTAATTAATTTTAGGACTAATAAGTCTTATTTGGATGAATGCTTCTTAAATGTTTCACATTCCTACATGCAGAGCTGACCAGGAACCTGAAAACAAATATAAAATGAAGGCACAGATGCCAAGTTCTGTCCTGTTTTTAGTTACCCAATAGGCATCAGCAGGTCTAAGTAAAGGGCACTGCCTTTAGCAGAGGCAGCCTTTTTAAGCCCCTGTTGCTCTTACAGGCATCAGAACTGTATTTGTTTATCCTGTCTGAACCAGTTGGTTGTGATTGTTAAGTTTTAGATAAAGATGGTGGTGTCGATTTGGAGTTATCTAGACTAAAGAACTTCTATTTCTTTATGCTGTCATTAAAATTGTTCTGATTTAGCTAGGCTTGGACATGCATGCTTGTAATCCCGGTGACTCAGGAGACTGAGGTAGGGGATCTAGACCAACCTCAGTAACTTAGCAAGACACTGTCTCAAAATAAAAACATAAAAAATAAATTTAAAAGGACTGAGGATGTAGCTTGGTACTAGAGGACGCCTGGGTTCAAACCCCACACACAAAAATTGTTCTGACTTTAACAAACMGGTATCTACTGTGGGAAAATATTTAAGCTAATAAAAGTAAAATATACATTATATCCATGTGGGTAAGTTAATTTCAGAGTCTAGAATTTTCTTCAGATACTTTTAAAAAATCTAGGTATTTTTACATATGGCTGAAAAGTTGATCTACAAATGTAGAAAAATTAAGTACAAGTTTTAAAAATGTATTTATTTAATAATTCTAGGATTTGAATTTCTTTTCTTTCTTTTTTTTTTTTAGCTCAGATCGTCTGATAGAAGAAACAATAAGGTAGGAATAATTTTTTTGTTTTACTTTGTTGGTGTTTGTTTGCACATAACATTTAATGAACAGATGAAGTTAACTCTACTAACTAAAGTGAAAGTCAAGTCATCCTCCTTAAAGATGAGAATTTTACTAGATAATAATGTGTATACTGTGACTTTCCCTTAAAGAGACATTTGAAGCCCAAAACATTTATTTCCATAATTATTGGAATTAGGCTATTTAACATAGGTTATTTTTCCAGTTAATTCATACTTAATATTTTTATTTTCATTTTTAATAGAAAACAATCTTGAACATAATCTGATTGTTTTACCACTTAAATAACCATGGTACAGCAGGTATAGAAAATCTACTACAGTAATATTTAATATTATCTATAATACCATTGAACTAGTTTCTTGCTTAAATTAAGAAATATTTGTTAGTTTGAATTGATTGTCTTAAGTTTGAAATTTTTATATATTTTATGATAGTAAAAAAGTAATGACTAGATATGGTTTCTATGCTTTAGAATTAAGCAGTGTGTGAAGCACTGCTTTTCAGGAAAAGGTAGAATAAAGTACATGACAACTATAAACATTTTTTAAAATTATTTTTTAGCTGTAGTTGGACATAGTGCCTTTATTTTACTTATTTTTTATGTGGTGCTGAGGATCGAACCCAATGCCTCGCTTGTACTAGGCACCACTGAGCCACAACCCAGCCCCAACCATAAACATTTGTATTCTTTTTATGGGCTCTGATCCTGCTCTAAAGTGTTTTGCATGCACATTTTATTTAATCCTCTCAAATAGCCCATGATACAGACACATATGTATCCAGAACAAACAAGAAACTAAGTAGTTTGCCCATCATCATATAACTAATAGATAATGTTGAGGATACAAATGTAGAGCAAATGCTGTATATAAACCATTGTTATACTTTCCACCTTGTAGAAAGAATTCAGACTTTGGAGTATGATTTGGTTTGAAACCTAGCCATGCTAATTGATTTCTGTTCTTAGAAACTTCTTGAAACTTTTGTAAACCAAGAAATCTTAAATGAGGTTAAAATAAAAGCAAAAGCAGCTTTTATTTGGGCACAGGGTAGATTTGCAAATTGGTAACACAGGTTCAATTAGAAACCAAACAAGTGTTCCATCAAAGGAAAAGAGGACTGGATTTTTAAAGGAAAAAAAAAAGAAATAATGTTCAAGTTTAACTTGTTTTGAACTTTTGTTGTTTTTTATACGGTTCTACATTTGGAACCTAGGACCTTGCACATGCTAAGCAAGTACTCTACTACCTAATCTGAACAGGGTTTTCATGAAATTATCTACTTGTCAACTGAAATATTTTCTTTATAACTCCTTCCCTTTCTCAGCACATGATGTGCATGTATTAATAGATACACAAAGGAAAGATATGTCAGATCCATTCTACTGTCTTTCCTATTTCCATTCCCCCTCTCTTCCCTTCATTCACCTTTTTTTTTTAAGAGAGAGAGAGAGAGAGAAAGAATTTTAATATTTATTTTTTAGTTTTCGGCGGACATAGCAACTTTGTTTGTATGTGGTGCTGAGGATTGAACCCGGGCCGCACGCATGCCAGGCGAGCGCTCTACCGCTTGAACCACATCCCCAGCCCCCTTCATTCACCTTTGTCTGACCACATTTTGCCCAGATTTCTTTACTTAAAGTTTCCCTGTATTTATTTTCCTCTTTTTCTTCCTTTTATTTCTCTTTCTGCCTGATCTTCTAGGGCAGGGGTACCTTAAATAAGTTTTTAGCTACACTCTAGCCCCTGAACAATTTTTTCATCAACCCTACTAATTACATAAATTGTTTTTATTATTTATTTATTTTTAGTTGTAGATGAACACAATACCTTTATTTTATTTATTTATTTTTATGTGATGCTGAGGATTGAACCTAGTGCCTCACATGTGCTAGGCAAGCACTCTACCACTGAGCTACAACCCCAGCACACATAATTGTTCTGAATGAATTGTTTGGTGCTGAGGGTTTGTTCATACACTGAAATATTAGTTAGCTGTTGRGGCCTGTTATAAAGGGGTTAGCTGGCAAGTCAGCAGAAGTCCCAGGATTRGAAACTATTCTTTCCAAATGGCATTCTTTATCTGGAAGTTAAAGAAAGAATAACTTCTTGTGTCTGACACAAATTACAGCCTGACAAGAGGCCAAAGAAGTTTTACTCTCTTGACCAAACTGGCCATTTTAATTTTTATTTCCATTTATTTTGTTATCTGTTTAAAATCAAAGATTGATATAATACCTGCCCTGAGAGATTGGTATAAAGATTAATAATATGAGAAAAATGCCTTATACTGTGCCTGGCTRTAGGTAATCTACAAGTGGTACCTGTGTTAAATACTAATCTTTTTTTTACCTATTATTTTGATATCATTTCAAATTTCAGGAAAGTTCCAGTAATACAGATTTCATATACCATTTACCAACATTCCCCAGACATTAACATTTTCCCAAATCCTCTTTTACAGTTTATTTTCTAAGTTGCAGGCATGATGCCTCTTTATTCCTGAATATTTCAATATTCATTTCTTAAGTATTATATCAATAGGGACTCGTGAATTCTTACTTTTTATGTTACTATCATTATTTAATAATATTAATACATTATCATCTCTTATTATAATATGCTTTAATCATATTCTTGAAGTTTTATATAAATTGTATGCACTGTGTCTTCAATCTGAACAGAGTTTTCACAGAATTACCTACTTGTCAACTGAAATATTTCTCTTGTAACACCTTCTCTTTTATCAGCACATGAAGTCTGACTGCATTTTACCCAGATTTCTTTACTTAAAATTTCCCTGTATTTCTTTTCCTTTTTTCTTCCTTTTTTTCTCTTTCTTTCTGCCTGATCTTCTAGGACAGGGGTTCCTTAATTAAGTTTTTAGTTTAGAGCTGGCCTGTTTAAGGGTTGGTAACATGAGTATAAAAATTTGGAGTTCCTCAATGGATAGGAACACTTGAGAACCATTGAATTAGTTTTAGCTACTATTAGTTTTATAGTTTTATAGTTAAAAAAATGCTACTTCATCTTTCATTTTAATATTATCTGTTATTTTAAAATATGATAATTATCACTGAATATAAAGTTAGTTATGATTACATGTAGGTAATATAAAATTTAAGTTCAAGTAATTATTTTTRTACAGTCCATATGTCAAAATTTACCTTTTCTTTTTGGAGATACATATTTAAACTGTTGTACAACTGAATATAGATATTGTCATCGATTTATTAAAAAGAACTAACATTTTAAAATTCATAAATTTGTTTATCTTTGAATTTATAACTAGTATTATTTATTATTAAAAAATTAGTAACTGAGTTTAGTTCACAGAACAAGTGAGAATGTTGAAGTTCCAGTAAGGACATCAATGATTTATTATTTTAAAAGCATTATATTTTATTTTGGAGCTTATATTTCACCTCTTAAGTATTTGACCCTTGATATAATAGCCTAGATTTCACTCAACTCCAAATTATGGAATGAGATGGGAAAGTATGTCTACATATACTTTGTGATACTGGAAATCATGCATATTCTACAAGGTAATCACTTAATATATGATGATAATATTCATTCTCCAAGGAATACAAAGTGCTTTGTGGAAATTATTTTTTAATTTCTATCCACTTGCAAGTCAAAGTGCATGGGAGATAGTRATAGTCCCAATTTCAATAATAGATATATATGATTCAGAGGTTGACCTAAGAATACTCAATATAGGTTTGAAGGCCCTTACTGTAATTTCAAACAGATTTTTTGAAGTTTTCATTTTGGCTTCTTTCATTTTTTCCTGATCATCTGTGCTTGCTTATTTTCTTTTTTTCCCCCTTTTGATACCAGGGATTGAACCCAGAGGAGCTTTACCATTTAGCCACATTCCCAGCCGTTTTTATTTTTTGAGACAGGATCTCGCTAAGTTACTCAGGGCTTCACTAAGTTGCTGAGGCTGGCAACAGCAAGCTACTAAGCAACTCAGTGAGACCCTGTCTCAAAATAAWATACAAAATAGGGCTGGGGATGTGGCTCAGTGATTTGAGTGCCCCTGAGTTCAATCCCTGGTACCAAAACAATAAAAATAAAATGCTGAGACTGGTCTTGAACTTGTCATCCTCCTGTCTCAGCCTCCCAGGTTGCTGGGATACAAGCATTCACTACTGTGCCTGGCTCATCAGTGCTTTCAAAAATGTTCTCTGATATCTCTCCTATGAACCTAGCCTTCATTGTCTTTTTGGATAGTGCCACACAGTGGCTTGGATTTCTGGAATCTTCATGAGACTCTGCGTGGCTTTCATCACTTCTCTGATCTTCTGAGGGGGACTGGCACTTACAGAACCATCAGCTGGTTCTTCATCCCTATGAATACTGAGTCTGAGTGCACTTTGCATTCATAGAGCTTGCTCACAGCCTTGACAGGATCAYTTCCTTGGCCAGAATCCTGGAGATGTCTTTCTGGCTCATCTCAGCAGCATCTTTCACAGATTGTTTCACTTTTTGGGGGGGTTTTGGGGTTTTTTTGGATACCAGGGATTGAACTTGGGGGCACTCAACTACTGAACCACATCCCCAGCCCCATTTTGTATTTTATTTAGAGACAGGGTCTCACTGAGTTGCTTAGTGTCTCTCCRTCGTTGCTGAGGCTGGCTTTGAACTCTCAATCCTCCTGCCTCARCCTCCTGAGCCGCTGGGATTAGAGGCAATGCATCCCTGCGCCTGGCTTCACTCTCCCCACCACCCCCCTATATATCTCTCCTATTTGCCTGTTACTAATTCTCATTTCCTTTCTTTTCTTCAATGACCATTTACTGACCAACACTTTGGGAAGCTTCTGCTGTTTTTTTGTTCCCTGAGGTCACTGGCTTTGATGGGATGTTTTAGTGTGTTTGTTGGTTTTTTTTTTTTT